AATTCGGGTCGCGACCAGAGTCGCAGAACGAATTAAGTTCGTGAACCGAGGTACCACTGTACATGTTTCTCTTTTCTTTGCAATACTATTCTTACAATAAACCAGTATGACAGGTAAATCTATGAAAAGGTGATTGGACCAAAGTCCTCTAATTCCAGTTGGAAATTATAACAGTTCTAATATACTGATTCCTTCAAGAAAGGATACCATTTCCTTTAAAGGTTAGATGGTTATCTTTTCTTTAACTTGCACCTTCACAAAAATCTATTCTAAAACCACTCACTATATTTAATCCTCAACATCTTATTATGACATTAGTCAGAATAGATCTTTTTCCAGAAGATACTTGGGTTTTGTCGTTTTAGTTAAGTCATTGTTAAAATTAATGTCCTGTTATGAGGTTTAGTGCGGTTTCATCTGATTGTTTTAAAAGCTATTTATTTATTTATTTATTTATTTTTATTTATTTATTTAACTACCATCTGGCACTTCTCCTAGATGTCCCCTAGAGCCATTGCTGGGACTGTGGCAAGTAAGAGCAAAACGGAACCATTAAAGAAACATTTTAACTTATATAAGAAACCAAAACTGGCAGAAAAGTTGATCACAAGAGAAAATACAAATATATTATGCTCAGGTTTGGTCACAAAATGCTTACTGTCTACATCAATTACTGTTCTTATGGTCCTGCCTTCTCTGATGGTAAAGAGAACGTGTGCCTTCTCAATAGTGGCCATGACATTATGAAATAGACAACTGTCAGATATGTCCTACACCCTTGCTCTTGGCATTGCAAAAAGTATTGAAGACACTTCTTTTCCACCAGGCATTGAATTATTAATCTGATGGTAACAGGGTCACCATTAGAATTATTTCAATTATTCTCTTTATGGCAGGGAAGGGAATTATGATTTCAAATTGCTCTGATTTGTTTATATATCATTTGTTTATATATCTATAGCCAGCCTAACTCAAAAGATTCTTGGTTGATACATTAAAATTATCAATGCAACAATAAAATAAATGAAAATTATAAAAGCAACACTGGCGATACATCAACAATAATAAATCATCCCAAATGGACACTAATAAAACACAACTAGGTTGAGGACTTGGTGAAATCAAATTAAACATCTTCTAAAAACCATAAGAGAGGAAGTTCTATGGACCTCTGAGAGTAAGGAGTTCCAAAGTGTGGGGGCTACTACAGAGAAGACCCATCATCTCATACAAGTCCCTCTCATTTCAGAAAGAGGGGGGACTCTTACCAGGCCTTCCAGAAATGCTCTGTATATTCAATATAAATCATGCAGTTCAGTTATGAAGATGAAATATCATGTTTAACTGTCCCCCCATGTAAATAAAACAAACCTGTCCTTACTATAGTACATGAGGGCATGTTGGCTTTCCCTTCTTTCCCTCTGGAACCGATGGAAAGATCATGTGGCACTTACTAGGGTTTATCAGCAGCGGGGCCATTTAATGCAGCAGCAAGATCAAAAGTAGAATTTGAATGTGAGAGCTCCCACAAGGATGTAAGAGTGCACAGAAATGTAACTTTTAATATTATCTCCACATACAACAATTAGAATTCTATTGATTTCAGCAGTTGTTTTGGACCAGTTCCAAGGATTCTTGGCACAAAACAATTTTTTTTAATGTAACCAAGATAAAGCTGAATATATTAGAAGGTCTAATTAAATGGACCATTAAGTGTACTGCTGATAGCAATGACATCTTTTGTTTCCTCATTATTCTGTGCCTACTTTTCCCTCATCAAATAAACAAACCAATGATTCTACCCTCTTTTCCCAGTTTACCTTCTGAAGGAGAGCTGAACTTTGTTTCATTTACAAACGTTGACAGATCTGATGGCTGAGGATAATCCTGCTTATCAGAATCAAGATCCACCGTCATACAAGTCCATTTCTGATTGCCCACAGAGGATGCCAGTTTTTCCTCATCTGTTGCATGAACCACAGTGGATACAACAGAGGATGTTTCAGTAGTAGGCAGTGTCGTGGATTCCTAAGAAGAAAATAGATGTTAAAAAACTATTGTGCTATAAAGAAAGAAGCAACTGTCTTCTTTCATGGATCCAGCTCTTTTGCTTTCTTCTTAAGAGTTGGACTAAATGCAGATGCTTGTAGTTGCGGGAGCAGCCACTATACTCCTCCCCCCCACCCCCCGCTTGACAACATACTCTGTACATGCAAAAGCTTGCAGGCTACTTTGTGACCTTTGTATTGGCTCAATAAAAAAACTGCCATAATATGGGTTATGGAACTCTGTATAATGCTATGCAAGTTATTCTAACTCATAATCAGGCCTTGAGATCTTCATCTTAAGGATGGACAAGGATGACATCTGATCTACTGCAGAGATCTGAAAATCACTACTTAATTAGCATAGGTCTAATGACTGATTAAATAATGTTTTACATCTTTTTATTAGCCCAAGTACCCTAATGATTAGCTTATTTGTACATAGATTTTACTGCAATATTCCAGCAAATACGTAACGGTTTATAAAAACATCAGACTGAGCCTGCTCCTTGGAGTTCACCCAATAATTCTAGATAAATATTACTACAGCACATAAAATCAACATATCTCATGGTAACCCATAAACTATATTGCAATGCAGACTGCATCACAAGCAGCCACAATTCATTGTGTGCTCAGCAAAAGAAGAAATAAGATCAGTTGCAATTTCCAACAAAGGCTTGAACAACTTCAAGCATTTCTCAGAAAGGGCCTAATCTTCAAATCTTCCAAAACATTAGCTGAATGTGATCTGACATTTACTTGATGCTTGCCCATCTGATGCTTCCTCTTCTGTGATGATTATTCATTCTCTCCTTATTGTGCTGGCTTTATATAATATGAACTATGGGAAAATGACTTCCATCTGAGCTGCCTCCTTTCTTTTGTGTGCTTTGAGGCAGTAGATAATTGATTGCTACTGAATCCACCTTAGAAGTAATTTTCTTTAAAAAAAAAAAAAAACTTGTTAAAGCCCTTTACCTGTGAAGGTGCATCAGACAGTGGAGATCTTTTTGGTGACTTTTTCACCCTGAAAGTATCACTGGGAAGAAAATGGAAACTCTGAGTATGGCCAACCATAGAAAAATGACATAACAACAAGCAGCTAATGAATATATTGCTATGGAGATTTCCTGTTTCAGAAAGTTCAGCATATAAACACTACAGAAGGGCATGCTATGGCCTTTGCTTATCATGCACTCTTAGACTCAGTCTTTGCCAAACTAAAAATCAAGCACGAGATACAAGAATTACAAGAATTAAATTAAACTGAGTTTTGTATTAAGGTAAAAAGTCAATCCAAACAATGAGAAATAGAAGTGGGTATTGTGTGGTTGAAGACAACAACAAAACAGTTACAGTGCTACTGGAAAATAGCCAACATAACATAATTCAGTAAATAAGAATCCTGATCTGCATAGGTCCTTGCCCTGAGAATTACACAGACATCACTGCTCATCAAGTACAACACCAGCACAGCTACAGTTATGTAAGTGTTGTGTAAAATGTCTTAAATTGTATCTACCAAACTATCATCTCAGGTGTGCTACTTCAATTGCCCAGTGACAAATGAATAAAATGCATACAAAATACTGGTGAACAAGACCACACAATTTGAGCAAGGCAGATACGGGACAACGGTTCATGTCTTGATCTTATCTCCTAACTATTGCTGGTTGCAGAAGATATTTGTTAGTGCATTTTACAGCTAGCAATATTGCCTGTAAATCTTATGACAAACATGTATGACTTGCTGGAATCCGTATCCTTTTTGTCTTTTGCAGGTTATACTACAGTATGCATATTTATTTTCCAAAAGCATTAAAACATTTGAATAGGATATACAAAATAAAGTATGATACTGTAGGCATTAATGTGCCAATAGATATTTAATTGGTTTCTTGATGATCTCATCTCCCTAATTTAACTTTTTGAAAAATTATGGTGATGATGACAGTATGATTTTAATTTTAAAAAGTACAGGAAACTGGCATGTTGAAAGCATAGCCAGGATTTCAAAATTGTATTTCCAAGAATGCCTCAGATTTAGATATTTTTAGAAAATAAAAATGTTGGATTGCTACAATGTGTTCTTTGTTTGGAAAATAAGCTCACCTGTTCAGAGAAAGAACAAAAATCAGCTGCGGGGTAGCAAGAAACATCTTGAAGGGTAAGGAGCATCTTCAGCAACATTCGTTTTGGAAATTGGGTAGCCATTTTGTGAATAGAGAACTTTCCCATGGCAGCCATTCGATGAGTGTCCTGTATACTCTCAATATTCCCAAAATGGCTACCAACCCAAACTGGGGAATTCTAAGACAGACTTCAAATTTCAGGTG